AGATAGATAGATAGATAGATAGATAGATGAATTTCTGTGATTGATTTCTGAATGAGAATTTTAAACCTCATGGTATTTTTGTTTCAGTTCTGTTTTGTATATTCTGTTTAGAGTATATCAATCTTATGTTTTGTTATCCTTGAACAAGAGATAAGATATTACACTCAGAAGTTAAGGAGAAGCTGATGGCCTGAAGGTTCATGTGATTTGGGTCACAGCCTGGAAAGCCCCATGTTGCTTCAGAATGGGGACTCATTGAGAAAGCAGATTAAGACTGTCGGAGTGTACACACATGCTTGTGTCTGAAAATGTGAACAAGCATGTAAACAATCATACATCTCTGCCGTTCACACTCAGAGACACAGTTAGTCCACAAGAGTGAACACACACATCCCGACACATACAGAGACCCTCCCTTTCTCTCTTTCCTGACTCAGCGGTTTTGTAGGAAACCTGTGTTGCTTTGAAGAGGCAAGAATCTATCATTACTTGAGAGATGTAGAAAAAGAAAGCAAGCTGCAAGAATAAGTGCTCCATTGTCTACCCAGTCACCCCTCCTTCCCCCTTTGCCTTCGAAAAAATAATTGTGTTGTCCTAATTACAGAGAGGAACTTCAACAGGTGCGGGGATCTGCACCTGGAGGAATGGGTGTATGTCTGTGTGCGCGTGCGTGTGTGTGTGTGCTTTGAGTCCATGAGCAATGCAGACACTTTTTTAAGGACAGAGCAGACAGTGACACAGAAAGAGGATGGGGAGGCTGACTGTTCACATCAACACTGGCATCACTGACCCATAGCTGTATGACCAGTATGCCTGAAAAACATCTTTACTGCTTTAATCCAAATAATAATCATCAATTATTCCATGATGAATGGATAGTTCACAACAGCCCCTGGACAGTCTCGCTCATAAACCACACAGATTTGCACATCAGAAGTCGTATAGTAGCTAACTTAATTGATTAAATTTCCACCACAGGGAGGCTGAATCATGACTCACACAAATCTGCCACCGATTTGAGACGATGACATGGCGCGGATGATGGGGGTTTAGGACAAACGAGGGCTTCTGGTGCCGCTGGCTGGACGAATTAAAGATCGGAGTGATGTAAACGGATCTCACGGGATCCCCTTCTTACCGTAAAAACGGCATAATGAAACAATTGACAGGAAGGGAAGGAGATCTGGCACGTTGTCATGATACAACGCGGAAAAGACAACACGCTTTTACAATAAGTGTGGATTAAAGGCTTGTTATGACGTCAGTGATCTTCTTGGGAATTTATTTTTAATATCCTCAAAAACATGTCAATCTAAACAAATGAAGCAAGGATGGGCTTGACGCCACTTCCATTCCACGCTTCGTTTAGGTCAAGAACAGTAAGTGTTTATTTTCGAACGTCACTGCGAGGGAGAAGGTTGTTTTATCAGGAATAAGAAACTCGACAGTAGCCTGTGAAATGTGCTCCCTCCGTCACAACATAGTTCTATCGACAGTAAATATACACTTCAAGTTCAAACAACACTTAACCCTGGGTTAGGCAACGTTTCACACTTGTAAAGGGGTTTAGCACCACTTTCAACCCTGGGTTATGACATTAATTAGCAGCCCTTTAGCGGAGTAGAACAATGCAGTTTTTCTATATAAACGTAACGTTACGCCTTACTGACGTGTTTGACCGTTGCGCGTCTTTTGCAGCGCCCTTGCGCTTGATGCGACGTTCCCAACTGTTAAAAGAAGTTCAAACCGCGTCAGTGCTTACCTCATTAAATATTCATATGATTTGTTCAATCAAAGAAACTTTCTCGCACTGTGTTTAGTCTCCATGTTTCAGGAAACTGTTACATCCGTTAACTGGGGTGAAGAGAACGTATTGTGTGTTTGCTTTTTTAATTGTTTGAAACTTAACTCAAAACTCAACCAGAACAAATTGACCTTTTCAGAGGCGATCAGACAGGTGAAGCATCCGTCATGAGTTGTATTCGTCCAATCACTGTTGTCGACCTCATTAATATGTAAATGAGAACATTAATCCTGGGTGTAAATGTATAATTTTTCTACCCTGGATTAATTAGGCAACTAGCTCATGGTAAACATGAACTGTATGAACAGTATGACACACTGGATTACCCTTAATTAGCCTATGTTTACCCAGGGTTTACCCAGGCGTCCAGCTAGTAGGCCTATCTAAATGCTATATTACCTTTACAAATATTTACCATTGTAACCATAGGTTACGCTAAACACCATAGAGTTATTACTGCAATAAAATAGTGTTAACTTTGGTATATAGTTGAACCGTCATCAAATAATTAATTTTAAAAGAATATAAATAAATCCCATATGTATTTATTATGGTTTTCAGTAGTAACAATAACTATAGTAACTGTGGTATTTAGGCGTAAACTAGTCATATGGTTGCGCCGGTAAATGTTCATAAGGGCACCTGCAAGTGTCAGTATTTCCACTATGAACAGTTGATATGTAAACTAGTTTGCGCCGGTAAATGTTCATAAGGGCACCTGCAAGTGTCAGTATTTCCACTATGAACAGTGAACAGTTAAGTATTTATATTTATATTTAA